GTAGATTTCATATTGTCCTTTCTCCTCTCTCACCGCTGTTAGGGTGTAAGTACATAAGTACTTGAAGTCATGGCTAGGCATATTTTGTGACATTTCATAAAGGGATTACAGAGCTGCACTAAAATCCTGCCGTCGTTTTCCATTATAATTTGACATTAATATGCCTAGCCATGACTTCAAGCTTTTTATGCATTTGCACCTTTAGTTTTCGAGTTGTCTTCGAATGACGATTCATTCAAAATAAGCCTTTTAAGGATGAAACCCCTTGAAAAATCACTTGAAAATATTGCATAATCTCGATTAATGGATTCTCTACTTAAACCGAAAATATTTTGTAGCAATGCAGTCTTCATTCCATTTCCAAACATTATTGTCAAATGTGTAATTTTGAAAAAATTGTAAACATGTGATTGCATGACTTAACCTTCTTAATTCTACCAAGGTTTGACGATTTCTTTTGAAACAAACGGACCAAATTGTTTCCGACCACTTTCCTTTAAAAATTCCCAAAAAAGTTTATTCGGCATTGCCGGTTGGTTTCTGCACAGCATCCACAATTCATTTTCATTTATATACACATACATACACTTTACGCCTCTCTCGCACACTCATTCTCGTTCTCCCCACATCTCTCTCCTTGATTAACTGTATTTCAAATGAGAATAAAACTAGAATTCCTTTTGCTTTTTATGCTGCTGGCTTCTAGAAAAAGTTTTGTTTGGATGTTTCCAATTTGTGTCGCTCTTCTCTTCATTGTTTCTGTTGCTGCCTGCCGTTGCTATTGTTGATTACAATTCCGGCTCATTGTTCTCTCTGTACGTGTGAGCTATGTTGTATGTGTTATAAAACTGATAATATTTTTCCCAAATCGGTACATTTGCTCTGACAAGGTCATTGCAAACGGATGTTGCCCCGACAACATTCTTCAGACACGTCCGCGCACACACAAACACACACTCGCACACAGTGAACAGGAATTTTGTTGCCGTGTTTTCTTTTTTTTTTGGAAGGCATTTGCCTTTGTGAAAACATTTGAGTTGTTCGACGAAAAGGGATATCCCTTTTCGTGACATAATTACTTTTAGAAATGCCCCCCAAATAAAAGAAAAAAAACTAGTCATTCAGAAGGTTCAACGAATATGTGTGTCTGTGTGTCGGAGAAATTTCTGACAGTCTTTATCCTTTTCCCCCCTCTTAAAAACTGCAAATTAATTGGGTGTAAATACCTTAATTCTAAATGTCCTTGAGACGATTTTCGACACACAATTACTTTAGAGTAATTTTCAATATTGAAAATTGTCTGCATAAAAATTAATTTGGATTTATTGTCCAAGAATTTCAGGGGGAGTTGTTTTAAAGGAAAATAAATTGAAATTTATGTTTGCATATTTGTGTAGGGTTAACTTGGATAGGAGATTCCAAAATTCAAGGTCGTGTATATGACGACGTTAGTTCAAACGATTGGAATGTGAACTTCAATCTCTGCCAAGGACAATGGATGTCCCCTCATTCTTTAAGAAGACAGTTTAGATGTAACAAATAAAGAAATAAATTTAAGGGATTTAGCTAAAAATAGAAAAATAAATAACTGTTATATTCTACATTCTTCTTGGGGTTACACAAATAAAATATTAATAGAATTTGATGGGAAGCCGAACCTTGGTCTACATGCGCTTTACATAAGGTATTCGCCTTCATAGAGAGCAGTTTGATAATTTTAATGCACTTAATTGGCCCCTTAACAATGTGAAGTTGGAATCGATGCATCAACTTGCTACCTTCTCTTAAAACATGCTAGGTGTTAATCAGGCCTAACTCTATTAAATTGTATACCTCACTTGTGTGCCCGTATAAATAAAACAGTTTAATTCAATTGCTTCTAACAACGAAACAAGCAATCACTGCACTACAACACAAAACAGTATTATCGACATAATTATGCATAATGATGGATGGAATAAAGCATACTTTAAGGCTTCGTAGAATTTGTAGTGTTACCCCTATGTCAAATTCAAGAAATCGACCAAATAGTAAACAGAATAATGAGGCCAGTTATTTAACTGCGCCAGAAATATGAATTAAAAATAATGGACAGATTTGCTTTGAGTATCACTATTGGATGTGCCGTAGAAATTTTTTGAAAATGTGTTCTAAAAATTTACTATATTAAACTGTGATGAGCGATTAAAGAGCTAGATCTCAAATTTGTTTATCCATTTCAATATAAATTTTAAGCTGCTATAAGACGATAAGAGTTTTACATGTGTGCTGTCAATTTTATTATTCATGTGCCATTTTACATATGACTCATAATTCTTGCCGTCAGGGTGAGATGAAAACAACTGCAACCAACTTCAGACTGCTGTCATTTCTAAGCTCTCGAAATTATTCCAGTGTCATCATCAGCTCATTATATTATTTACAAGCGTACAAAAGCATTTTGGTAGAAATTTTCTAGAAAAAATGCTATTCTTGATGGAACTCAAGCGTGATAGTATGGTTTCTTTATATTTGGCTGGACAACCACAAGTGGCTATCGTTAGAGCACTCCAGCATTTAAATGTGAATAAATCTTTTGTGTCTCGTAACATCGCTCGTTACCGTGATATTGGATACCGACGTCAAGGAAGTGGACGGAAAAAACAGCAACATCAGCAGAAATGGTTCGAAAAGTAAAGAAGCGACTTGATCGAAACCCGCGTCGCAGTGGCCTAAAAATGACTCGTGAGCTGATCATATCGCAATATTCATTCGGCAAATATTGAAAAATGAGGTCGGGGTAAAGGAAGAAAATAGACTCAAAAGAGCTAAAGAGTTGCTTCGCTTGGCCGAAGGTTGTGGTAAACTGTCGTATTTGGCTTTCTCCGATGAGAAAACATTCGTTGTCCAGCAGTTTGCAAACAAACAAAATGATCGTGTTTACTTGCCAAAGAGGTTAGCTGAAAATGTGCACCTTCGTTTGGCCACCAGAACTCAACCGCCGGCCATGGTGATGGTGTGGGCCGCCATAAAAGCCGCTCGTATTAATCGACCGTGGCATCAGAATAAATGTCGAATATTATAGCGAAAATATTCTGGAGAGTGTATTAAAGCCTTGGGCACGCAAACATTTTGGCCCCAGACCTTGGACATTCCAACAGGACTTAGCACCATCGCACCCAGCACGCACCACCGAAGAATGGTTACAAAATGAGGTTACTCGCTTCATTTCCAGCGCAAAATGGCCCCCAAAATCTCCGGATACCAATCCGTTGGGCTATTGTGTCTGGAGTACTTTGGAAAGCAAGGTTGGCACTAAAAAATACCAAAGGGGCGATCACCTCAAGCAAGCGCTTCGCCGGGAATGGGCCAAAATACCACAGAGCAACATTCGGGCAGAGTGTGGCGGTTTCATTGGCCATTGGAATGTCATAATTCGTTCCAAAGGTGACTAATTTCAACAAATCTAAACTTACTCTAAAATTTGATGCTATTTCAGACATTTTTTGCTTTCATTCAATAAAAATAAGAAAAAATATGGCGTTTGACTTTGTTGCACTTTTTTATATCACCTTGTATTTTTGCGACATTATTTACCGGAATAGCTACAAAATTCGTATTTGAAATTCGGAATCGAAATGGCGGAAATTTACTTATGCAGGACAACGTCTTCATATAGCTTCCATATAACGGTTTTATTTAAGCGCTATTTTTCGACGGATTTTTTTATTTTTAAAATTTCCTTTCAATGTGTGGAGCGTATTAAAGCTTCGGCACGACCGAACTTAGCTTCTTTTAACTTGTTTTTTGGTCCATGTTATTATGTGCACGTTGGTGAACAAATTGAAATGAAAAAAGGCCTTATTGTGTAAAGAAAAATACATGGTACAATTAACAAGTTAATGTCACACAATCAGACGATTGTCAGATTCTCATTTTGTAGTTCTTTCTAAATATATAAATATGGGCATACAACTGGCAAGACATTTTAATTTATTTCCGACAAAATATTTTAAGATTTTCAAGCTTTTTAGTGGGTATAAAAGCAAGGAAGAATATAATCTAAAACAGATAAATTCTATTAATATGTGTAAATCCGGATAAGTTTTTATCTAAACGCGCTACAATGTTTGCCGGACAGAAAATATGTTTTTAGCATAGAGTAGGCGGAAGAAAATGTAACATTTACCTCATTCAACAACTAGAAAGTCTACAGTGTTTACCTTACCCAGTTTCCAATAATAAGGTTACTTTCTAAAGTTAGACTATCGGTGAAGAGATGAATCAAGCTGCTAACCAAACTAGACCCATAATATATACATGGCGATCATTTGTAGCTAAAGAAAGACCTCATATAAATTTGCCTTCACTCGATATAACATTTATAATTCTGGAACCGTAAATCAGAATCGTCGCATTAGGAAGATAGCATTACAGTGAATTTGAGTATTTTTGGCATGATTAATACGAAATCAAATGTATGAAAACATATGATAGAAGAATACAGGTAGATGCATCAAAACTTAGGGACATTTATATGTCAAAATTTTATAATTGTTTATTCAAAAATAAGTAGATTTGTATATGGTTTCCTAACGATGCAGATTTTAACAAATTTAGATATTTTTTTATTCAAAAATTCCAATTCGAAATCGGTTTGACAGTTCATTGCCCCAGCAGCTGTGTCGATGTGACTACCTGTATTCTACCATGCATACACCAAATAAATCATGCTATATCAGTGTTCACCGTAAATTATTTTAATGTAAACATGGCATCGCTACTTTCCCAAAATGTTAATAGAGTTCCCACCGCACCACATAATGGTATACACAGCGATCTTACGTTACGTGATCACTAATCACCACATTTTAACAAGTCGATCATTATCTTGGCAACTCTATTTGCCGCCTTTTCAATTCAAACAAAGCAGCAACAACAACAACACCACCACGATCAACAGGTTCGATAACTCGATAAACAGCAAATGCAGCAAAAGGGTGCAAAAAAGGTAATTCAAAATTAAACGGTAAAAAATCACTCGCACGCACGCACTGCCATTGATTTTGCTAAGCGAGAAAAGGAAAGATCGGAACGGAGATTGAGTGAAGTTTGATTTTTATTTATTTTCTAGCGATTGTGTACTTAAAAGCTGAACGTTTAGCAAAGAAAAATAAATCAATTTAAAGGGAAAACAACAAACGAAATTATTTAAATAATTTTGCCGAAAAGCAATCATTGCTTGTTAAAGTGTAAGTAAGCCGTGAGCCCTTTTGTTAAGTGTGCAAAAAGTGTGATGCCACCATTTTCCTGATATGGCATGGGGGAAAGAACAACAACAAACACAATGATCTCCATTTTCTTCCTTTGTGTTCCTTGGGAAGGGAAATGTGAGGTTATGTTGGCAAATTTAGATGAACAATTTTTTTGCGAGTTGTCCTTTAATATCCTTTTGTTAATTTTTACAGCAATTTTCCCACCCAACTTAATTTAACATACAGCTTAAACATGAGCAAAGCCGAAGCTTCCAGACAGGGTGCTTACAAAAGCAACTCCATCAACACCAATGTAAGTGTGCCTAGCATGTTTCTTGTTGATGCCTGGTTCTAATCCAAATATTTTTCGTCTTGTGTTTGCTTTGCAGGAATCACGTTTGCGTCGTCATGAGGTTACGGTGGAGTTGCGTAAATCCAAAAAGGAGGATCAAATGTTTAAACGTCGTAACATCAATGAAGAAGACATCACCTCACCTCTCAAAGAATCAAATGGCCAATCGCCGGTTCAAATGACAGTGGATGAAATTGTTGCCGCCATGCAAAGCACTGATCCAGAGAGACAATTTGCTGGTATGCAAGCTGCCCGTAAAATGTTGTCCCGAGAACGAAATCCACCAATTGATCTGATGATTGGTCATGGTATTGTGCCTATTTGTATACGTTTCCTGCAAAATTTTGAAAAGTAAGTATAAATTTGAGATATTTGATAAAAACATAATTATAATTTGCATTTAAATAAGGTAATTCTCTTATGGAAACTTCCAGAATGGGAAAGAGTTGTAGGACTCATCTAAGTGCATTCTTTAAAAATCAATCCGAGTTTGTTTCAAACTGAAAATAAGTCATTTATTTGAAATTATCAGAAACATTGAAATATCCTACATATCATCTTTGCCTGTTTGCACTACTAGTGCTGGTGGTAGGCAAGATAGTGTTAATTTGGTAGTTATTTGACTAATTTATGACAGGGGAAGTCATTACCACATAGGTTTGAAACGTGTGAATCATACAATAAATGAAAAAGGCAGTTTTGCTGTCGCAACTCCACGGACATGTGAGATCAATGCTCTAGTAAAATACACCGCACACACACAGATTGTATTAAAACTATTGTTTAAAAATGGAGTACGTTGAAAAAAGAAGCACGTTCATTTTATCACATGTTGCTATTTTTACCCTGATTCTGGGAGATATTTTTTTGTGGAGCCAAAACCAGGTTACCCAAATATTTGATCCGATAGTTCGGATACTAAACTAGATAATATCCGTTACATAGGATACAATATTCATCAAATGAAAGATTATTTAAATACCAATCCAAGAAATTTCCATATGATAGAGTCAAATAGGAGAGTTATGGGGTAAAAAAAAAACTAAGTACCAAATTATATTCTACACTCTTGCCTTAGTGCCATATGTGTTAATATCTCTTTAGTTCCTAAGATATTAGTCATAGAGACAAACTTTATGGCTCTTATTATGTAGCCGACCTTCTACCGGAGCTGGATATTTTTTTTTCTGATATATGTGATATGTAGTTCTTATTACCCCATAATGGCACAATTACTGATTTTTTTGCTGTTTTTCAAAAATTTCTGGTAGATTTTTCTGCATAACTCCCGAACTGTTAAAATCTTATGCCCTTTTTTTATTCATATAGTACTCATATTGTGTACTATCAAGTGCCCGCTAATTTGTCAGCGAATTTCCACCTTAAAATTTTAGATTTGTTCCAACAGTCCGTGTAAGGCTTTTTAGTACTCAAAATGCACAATTGGTTCAGTTTGATACAATTTTTATACCCTCAGCCATATGGCTAGAGAGCGTATATATCATTTGTTACGGGCAAAACGGTTTTAGAACCTGGGTCTCTTTACACCAAATCCGTTTCAGGACATTTGGAGTCTATCTAACAATGTCCGTCCGTCCGTCTGGCTGATGCGCACGATAATTTGAAGGGAGTATCCGATTTGGTCCAAATTTGGTACATTGTAATATTATTGCCAAACTTAGGTCGAGTTCGGAGATTGGCAAAATCGGTCCACTCCCACTGGTACCTCCCCCATAAAATGTCGATATTTTTAATCAAATCATTTTACTGCACAGGAAGAGAAAGGATTATCCGATTTGGCAAATCCTAATATTTGTATCAGTGCTAGATCAGTAGCGAAAATGGACGATATCGGTCCACTCCATCAAATACCTCCCCCACAAACGGTCAAAATTTTGAATAATTACAACTCTTATAAAATATTTTTATTAACTCAAGGTCTGGTGCTAAAATGGAATATATCGGTCCACTCCTTCTGGTACCTCCACCACAAAAGATCGAAATTTTCAAAAAAAATTAATGGCACAGAAACAGAAACGATAATCCGATTTTTTTTGCAACTTTGAAAATCCTAATATTAGCGGGTGTGCTAGGTCAGGTGCGATAATGGACAATATCGGTTCACTCCATTAAGTTCCTCACCCACGAAGAGTCAAAATTTTGAATAATTACAACTCTTATAAACTGTGATGTAAGAGGCCGATTGTCTTTAAATTTCCCACATCCCAATAATTTTTTTAAGCCAAGGCCTGGCGTCGGTCCACTCCTTCTGTACCTCCCCCACAAAAGGTCGAAATTTTGAATATCCATTAAGCTCATAAAACGCGAAATTAACACCTGATTCCACTTAGACTTTACACATCTGTATATATCCATCAACGCAGGATCTGTTAAAAAAAAAAAAAAAAAACAGTGGTCATCGGACCTTTCCTTATGGCACCTCCCCCACAAAGGGTCAAAGTTTTGAATAACCAAAACGTTTATAAAATCCGAAATATGCATCAGGTTCTCTTTATATTTCCCAAATCCCATTATTTCTACTAAGACAAGATCTGTTGTGAAGATGGGATATATCGGTGCACTCCTTCTGATACCTCTCCCACAAAGGCTCAACATTTTGAATATTTATGAGCTTCATCATAAAAAGCGAAATTACATCCGATTCCATTACACACTTGATACGTCTCAATATTTATATCAGCACAAGATCTGTTATAAAGATCGTGGAGATCGTGCCATTTTTTTTGCTACCTGCCCCACGTAGGGTTCAAGATTTTGTAAAACAATAGGCTCAAAGAAAGCGAAATAAACATCCAACTCTTTTCAAATTTTACACATACAAACATTTTTTTTCTAATATAAGTTCTGTTGTGAAGATGCTAGATGTCTGCGAACCCCTTCTGGTACCTCACCCACAAATGGGAGTCACAATTTTCAATACTTCTATCTGTCATAACTTGCGAGTGATTCTTTACGACTTACTATATCTAAATATTTCACTCACCCAGAAACCTGAGCAATGTGAAATTTATGATTTCGCATTAAATTGAACATTTTCTTGTATTTTTGTCCATACCAATACTTTTATCTGCATTAGATGAAGCATGAAAATGGAATACTTCGGTCGACTATACCTGGTACCTCAGGCACGTTTTAACACTAGAAACTAACAGTGACCTCAAATTGCAGAGTTTCAGTTCTATATATTTTCACCCAATACTTAATTTAGTGACATTTATTATGCATATCCAAAACAATTTATATCTCTTCATTCTACACACCAACAGTGATCCAATATTAGTACCATTTAGTGCCTTTCGTGTAATTATAGCACATATTTACAAAACCACCTCCATATCTCAATTCCGGATACCACCAGAGACCTCAGTATCATCTTTAAGGATTCCAGCTCTATTCTTTCATCCAATTCTAAATTTAGTACCATTTAGTACTTTTCGTTCAAATATAGGAAGCATTTTCAAAATCACCCCTATACCACAGACACCGACAGTGACATCTATATCAAGTATCAGGATTCCAGCTCTATCTCTTCAACCAATACCAAATTTTGTACTATTTAGTAATTTTCATACAAATATATGACGCATTTCCAACTACCGCAACTATCTAAATATCAAATTTCATAATTATATCTGTATCCCTTCATCCAGTACCAAATATAATACCATTTGGTCATAATACACTTTCCAATGTCAATATCAAATACCAACACAGTCTTAAATGCAAACTATCAAAACTCCAGATTCATTCGTTCACCCTAAACCATTCAGTAACATTGAGTACAATTCGCACACTTAGCACACATTTCCAAAACCACCTTCATATATCAAACTTACTTTTCCAACCTTGATTCTCAAACCAAATTTCAAGTTTTTAGATACCATTTTAGTAGTTTAGTAACTTTTTAGAATATATATTCTGCAGTGACTCTCTTTCCGAATTTCAGAAATATAGAAATCCATTAAGTTCGAAATTCCAAAAACTCAGCCTTATCAGCCAAGACTGACCTTCGTAGAAAATTTCAAGATTCCAGCTTTAACCATTTCTCCTGGGTATTGATTCTCCGTCAGTCCGTTATTTCACTACTCTTTTATATAAATAAATAGATATCGGTTCGTTATAACCCCGATATTGTGCGCCAAAATCAGGTTAAAAATACTTACATGTGAAGCAAATTTCAGCTCGATCCTAGCTTCCTCAAAATTCCCTCTCCCTTCAAAATTCGCTCTCTTTACAATTGAGATGAATTCTTTAATATCTGATGGCTGATTGCATCGTGTATAAGATTTAGACTTGACCAACTTGTTTCCATTTATTTTATAGTCATCAATTCTTAAATATTCACATTTGTTCATATATTTTTCTTTCATTTTCCAGTCCTCTGTTACAATTCGAAGCAGCCTGGGCCCTTACCAACATTGCATCGGGCACGTCGGAACAAACCCGTTGCGTTATTGAAAATAATGCTGTGCCACATTTTATTGCCCTCCTCCAATCAGAAAATATCAATTTGGCCGAACAAGCCGTCTGGGCATTGGGTAATATTGCCGGTGATGGTGCTGCTGCCCGTGATATTGTCATACACCATAAATGCATTGATGGCGTTTTAAATATGGTCGATTTACGCAAAGATATACCAATTTCATTTTTACGTAATAATGTTTGGTTAATGTCGAATTTATGTCGCAACAAAAATCCTTCACCACCATTTGAGGAAATCAAACGTTTATTGCCGGTGTTGTCGCAATTGTTGTGTGGCACAGATATTCAAGTGTTGGCTGATGCCTGTTGGGCATTGTCGTATGTGACCGACGATGAAAATCATAAAATTCAAGCTGTTGTCGATACGGGTGCGGTGCCACGTTTGGTCGCTCTCTTGGGTACCGATGAACCGGCCATTATTGTGCCGGCATTGCGTAGTGTGGGAAATATTGTTACTGGAACGGATCAACAGGTGAGTGGTGGAATTAAATTTTAAAATAATTTTTTAAAATATTTTGAAAAATAAGCATTTTAAGTATATACAGGGTGAGATAAAAAAACTGCAACAAAGTAAAATGCCATAATTTAATTCTTTTTTTATTTTTATTGAATGAAAGAAAAAAATTTTCGGAAATAGACTCAAATCTTAGAATAAGTTTAGATTTGTTCGAATTGGTCACCTTTGGCACGAATTATGGGCTTCAAACGGTGAGGTGATCGACAATTTGGTATTTTTAAGCGCCAACCTTGCTTTCCAAAATACGCCAGACACAATAGTCCATCGGATTGGTATCCGGAGGTTTTGGTGGCCATTGTGAGCTGGAAATGAAGCGAGGAACCTCATTTTGTAACCATTCCAGGATGACCCGTGCTGTGTGCGATGGTGCTGAGTCCTCTTGGAATTTCCAAGGTCTGCGGCCAAAATGTGATAATATTCGGCATTTATTCTGATGCACGATTAATACGAGCGGAAAGCGACCATCGGCTGTTATGACGGCCCACACCATCACCATGGCCGGCGCTTGAGTTCTGGTTGCCAGCCTAAGGTGCACATTTTCAGCTAACCTCTTTGACAAGCAAACTGCTGGACAACGAATGTTTTTTCATCGGAGAAAACCAAATTCGGCAGTTCACTACTTTCCGCCAAGCGAAGCAACTCTTTAGCTCTTTTGAGTCTATTTTCTTTCTGTTGCGTTGTAAGTGCTTGCACTTTTTGGAATTTCAATGGCTTTACCGCGAGCTCATTTTTCAATATTTGCTATATGGAATATTGCGATATGTTTAGCTCACGAGCCATTTCTGCTGATGTGGCTGTTTTCTTTCGTACACTTCCTTGACGTCGGGCTCCACTACCAGTATTGCGGTAACGAGCGATGATACGAGGCACAAAAGATTTATTCACATTTAAATGCTGAAGTGCTCTAACGATAGCCACTTGTGGTTTTGCAGCCAAATATAAAGAAATCACACTATAGCGCTTGAATTCCACCACAAATAACTTTTTTTTCGGGAGAATTCGCACTGAAATGCTTTTGTACGCTTGTAAACAATATAATGGACTGTCACTGAATTAATTTTAACAGTTGTCGGAGGAGTGGCATGGAAATGAGAGCAGTCTGAAGCTAGTCGCAGTTTTTTTCATGTCACCCTGTATTCCTCCATTATTGAGAATATTTGATAAAAGTACGTTTGCATGATGTGAATAATAATAAATTCCATTTCTCGTAAGAAGGGCTTAAGCCGGCACCCTTGTAAATTTGAAATAACTTGTGTTAATAATAGAATTTGGTTTTTTTTATTCCTTATAATGAAGAAATTTGCATTATTTCTTCCTTAATTTGTCGGAATTTCTGCTTAATCCTGCAGCCATTCTTGTTGTATTTCCCGCTTTGCATAAAACTATGCCTTAAAAATGCTGATCTCTTGTTTTCCGTTTTTAATATTGAAAAATATTTGCTCACTTTAAACTTTTGTTATTTTTAAACATTAATTCTTTTTGGAAAATATTTTTCCTTGAATATTTTTCGTCATCGTTGAAGTGTAGTGGTGCTTGCCTGCCTCTTGCTGAATCTGAATTCTTTGCAAAACTCTTTTTAGCTCAACAAGACAGGCGAGCAAGCTTTATATTAGAAAACTTTTTCGATATGTCTTTGGGTATACGTTGAAATACACACAGACACACAAACAAATTACATAAAAATGTTTCGTATGTTTGCCTATATACGAAGAGAGAAGTATATTGAATTTTGAAATCACATAAATTTTGCATAGTTTCACTTTTCGTAAAGTTTTGCTTTTTCGCCTTATTGCTTGCTGTTCTGCTAGTTCAGTTGAGCTGTGTGACTTTGGTGACGACGTTGTCATATTCTTGGGATTTTGATATTCTTTTCCGGTCTGTGTGTGAGTGTGTTTGCGTGTTTGGGTTTGTTGCACTACTTTTGTGCTCAACGTTTTAATCATCTTGTGTGATGAAGAGGATGAAGGCGTTAAAAGCGCACTTTGCGCAATATATACTACAACAGACTAACTACATGTGCTACAGATGAAGCTGATAAAGAAGATGCAGGCGCTTAAAACATATGCTGCTGGCTTCAACACTACCGCATAATCTATTATTTCTTAAGAGTCTCCTAATTACCAAAAGAGGACTTTGAGAAAAGCTGCATTTCCTTTAAAATATCAAGTGTTTTATTTGAAAACGCACACAACCATATCAATGTCTTTAAGGAAGTGACCGGATGGAAGAAGAAGAAGAATTACAATTCATTTAATATTCTTCCACCCGCATTTATCTCCTCCAAAGGGATCATTTTTTTTGGTAGTTTACTGCCTCTTTGTAATTCCAAACTAAAAATAAAGAAAATCATACCTAATAGGTTTAAGGCAGTTTGTGAAAATAGATAACGACATAATCACTCAAGATAACAGTTAATGGAAGCATACTTTTAGGAGTCCAATTATATACAGGGTGAGATAAAAAACTGCCATAAAGTTAAACGCCATAAATTTTACATTTTTTTTAAATTTAATTAAATGAAAGCAAAAAATATCGGATAGCATCAAATTTTAGAATAAATTTAGACTTGTTCGAATTGGTCACCTTTGCACGAATTATGGCCTTAAAACAGCCAATGAAACAGTCACACGCTGCCCGAATGTTGTTCTGCGGTATTTTGGCCCATTCCCGGCGAAGCTCTTGCTTGAGGTGATCGACACTTAGGTATTTTTTAGTGCCAACTTTGATTTCCAAAAATTCCAAACACAATAGTCCAACGGATTGGTATCCGGAGATTTTGGTGGCTATTGTGCGCTTGAAATGAAGCGGGAAACCTAATTTTATAACCATTCTTGGGTTGCGTGTGCTGAGTGCGATGGTTCTGAGTTCTGTTGGAATGTCCAAGGTCTGCGGCCAAAATGTTTGCGTGGCCAAGGCTTTAATACACCCTCCAGAATATTTTCGCGATAGTATTCAGTATTTATTCTGACTCCACGGTCGATTAATACAAGCGGAGAGCGACCATCGGCTGTTATGGCGGCCCACACCATCGCCATGGCCGGCGCTTGAGTTCTGGTGTCCAACCAAAGGTACACATTTTTAGCTGACCTCTTTGGCAAGCAAACACGATCATTTTGTTTGTTTACAAACTGCTGGAAAACTAATGTTTTCACATTGGAGAAAACCAAATTCGGCAGTTTACCACTTTTGGACAAGCGAAGCAACTCTTTAGCTCTTTTCAGTCTATTGTCTTTCTATTGCGGCGTAAGTTCTTGCACTTTTTGGAATTTCAATGGCTTAACCCCGAGCTCATATTTCAATATTTGCGGAATAGTTCAGCTCACGAGCCATTTTTCGGCCACTGCGACGCAGATTTCGATCAAGTCGCTTCTTTACTTTTTGAACCACTTCTGCTGATGTTATTTTCTTCCGTCCACTTCCTTGACGTCGGGCTACGCTACCAGTATCACGGTAACGAGCGATGGTGCGAGACACAGAAGATTTATTCACATATAAATGCTGGAGTGCTCTAACGATATCAACTGGTTGTTTTCCAGCCAAACATAAAGAAATCACTGTACAAGTTTCAAAATGACTCAGTCGGTCAACTTTTTTATTTATAAAAAATTACAATTTTTTGATCTGGCGATCCACTTTTCTAACTTCAAGAAGAAGAGTGCCGTTTTTAGTTTTGTGACGACATCGATAGTTTTATTTATCGAGATCGATTAGATCCATGTCGATGTCGTCATCCATCGGGTTGAGTCTATTCCCAGCAATCACACTATCACGCTTGAATTCCAACACAAATAACTTTCTTTCTGGAAAAATCTCACGCTTGTAAACAATACGTGCTGTCACTAGAATAATTTAACAGATGTCGGACGAGTGGATGGAAATGACAGCAGTCTGAAGTTGGTTGGTTTTTTACCTCACCCTGTACAAAGTTAAATTAGATTTATTTTTTTTTTTAGCTTTTTTTACACTTTACGTTAAGTAATATATTCTACATTCTCTTTATTTTACTAATCTTTTGAATATTCTGTATCATTTCATTGTTGAAATATTTTTACATATCTATCATTCCGTCTACTCTCGTCCATCTGTTTCATTTTCTTCTTCTGTCATTTTATATTGAATTTCCATTTTCCATTGAGGATATGAGAATATTAAGCAGGTTATTACGTTTACAACACCTTTAAATGTACACTTGGCGGGGTAGAATATTCAAGTGGTATTCAAGAGCCAAATAATAAGCAAACTATACTTGGGCATGATACTGCCCAAACCTGAAATAAAAAAATATGAGAAGGTAGGCAACAGAGGTTTTGGGAAAGTTTAAGGCCATAAGTCAAAGAAAAAATGAAACATGGACCAATTATTAAAGTGTGGCGTGCTTATCATAGAAGTATGGAGTTTCAAGGATTAAAAGGTCAACGACCATGATCGAACATGGTAATATATATTGAAGCTAGGATCGTACTCTCAGAAATATTGATGAACGTGCAGGTGTTTCGTCTTCATGATCAACCGTATGTAAGAAGTCGGGCCATAACTGTGATAATTATGGCTAAATCGGTAAACTGAATTTAGCAACAATGGGAAAATGCCACTGGTTCATCATGAATTTAAATGACAAAAGACCCAAATGGTACATCGGTTACGTAATTGGTTTCCAATCTGTTCACGTTCACACAATTGGATGCTGGGCCGAAAGTTAGAACATCTCTCATTCTCTTATAAAGAACAACATTGAAAAATTTGATGTTTGTTGTAAGGGGCTACATTGTTAACAGCATTGCTTATCAGAACACAGATTTGCTAATTTTCACTAGAGAGTGAAACTTGCTCGAACAGTGGGAGTTTTTTACGAAGTCTACTCTTTACTCTTGTTTTGTGTGAGAACTCTTCCGAGTCGTCACTCCTGTTTGAGAAATTAGATTAGAGCAGAATCGGTCAAAAAAGCAGCAACATGC